TTAGGATTTAGGGTTTAGAACCTTTCTCGGTTTATGAAAACCAAGAAAAGTTACTGAACCCAAGTATGGCCAAATTAGAGAAAAAAAATTGTCACCTTGGCCATTATTGTCAAAGTATGCATCAAATGGATTATTAACACAAATGAGTAAAGAGAAATTGTTACTTGTCCCCTAGATCTTATGGTTAGGGCTGAGAACCATTCTCGGTTTTTGAAAGCCTAGAAAATTTACAGAACACAAATGTGGCTAAATTAGACTAATGTTTCATCAATCTGGCCACTCGTGTCCAACTTTACATGGTCCAGCTTAGTAAACCAAGCACAAAGAAAGAAACTGACTTGGCTCCTACGTCTTATGATTTAGGGTTTAGAACATTTCTTTGTTTCGGAAAACCAGGAAAAGTTACTGAAACCAAATGAGGCCAAATAGGAAAAAAATTGTCACCTAGGTCATTAGTGTCAAGGTATGCATCATATGAATTATTAACCCAAAGGAGTAGAGAGAAATTGTCACTTGTCCCATACATCTTGTGGTTAGGGCTGAGAACATTTCTCAATTTCTGAAAACCAAGAAAATTTACGAAAATCGTATGAGGCCAAATTAGACTAAGTTTTCATCATTCTAGCCATCGGTGTCCAAGTCTACATTAGCCGAATTAGTAATCCAAGAACAAAGAAAGAAACTGTCAATTGGACATTGGTGGCCAAATTGATGAAAAAATAGTCTAATTTGACTTCATATATATTCCATAAATTTTATTGGTTTTCAAAAACCGATAAAGGTTCTCAGTCCCAACCATAAGATCTAGGGACAACTGACAATTTCTCTTTACTCATTTGGGTTTAATCCATATGATGCATACCTTGACTCTAATGGCCAATGTGACATTTTTTTTCCAATTTGGAAACTTTTTGGTTCAGTAACTTTTCTTGGCTTTCAGAAACCAATAAATGTTCTAAACCCTCAATCCTAAGATGTAAGAGCCAAGTGTCAATTTCTTTCTTTGTGCTTGGGCTACTAATATGGGTGACGTAAACTTGGACCCCAGTGGCCAGATTAATGAAAAATTATTTTAATTTGGCCACATATGTGTTACGTAAATTTCCTGGGTTCTTAGAAACTGAGAAAGATTCTTAGCCATCACCATAAAATCTAGGGGACAAGTGATAATTTCTCTCTACTTATTTGGTTCATTTGGGTCCATAAATTTTCTTGGATTTTAGAAACCAATAAAGATTCACAGCCCTAACCATAAGATCGATGGGAGAAGTGATAATTTCTCTTTGCTCATTTGGGTTAATAATCCATATCATTTATACTTTGACACTAATGGCCATGGTGACAAATTTATTTCCAATTTGGCAACTTTTTGGTTCAGTAACTTTTCTTGGTTTTTAGAAATCAAGAAATGTTCTAAACCCAAAATCCTAACATGTAGGAGCCAAGTGACAATTTCTTTCTTTGTGCTTGGGCTACTAAAATGGGTGAAATAAACTTGGACACCGATGGTCAGATTGATGATAAATTATTCTAATTTGGCCTCATATGTGTTCCGTAACTTTTCTTAGTTTTCAAAAACCAAGAAAGCTTATCAACCCTAACCATAAGATCTAGGGGACAAGTGACAATTTCTCTCTACTCGTTTGGGTTAATAATCCATATGATGCATACCTTGACACTAATGGCCAAGGTAATAATTTTTTTTTCCAATTTGGCCATATTTGGGTTCAGTAACTTTTCTTGGTTTATAGAAACCAAGAAAGGTCCTGAGCCCTAAATCCTAAGATGTAGGAGCCAAGTGACAATTTCATTCTTTGTGCTTTGGTTACTAATTTGGGTGATGTAAACTTGGATACTGGAGGCTAGATTGATGAAAAATTAGTCTAATTTCGCCTTATATGGGTTCCGTAAATTTTTTTGGATCAGAAACCGGTAAAGGTTCTCAGCCCTAACCATAAGATCGAGGGGAGAAGTGACAATTTCTCTTTGCTCATTTGGGTTAATAATCCATATGATGCATACCTTGACTCTAATGGCCAAGCTGACAATTATGTTTCCAATTTGTCCACATTTGGGATCAATAAATTTTCTTGGTTTTCGGAAACCATAGAATGTTTTGAACCCTAAATCCTAGGATGTAGGAGCCAAGAGACAGTTTCTTTCTTTGTACTTGAGTTACTAATATGGGTGATGTAAACTTAAACACTAGTGGCCAGATGGATGAAAAATTATTTTAATTTGGCCTCATATGTATTCCATAAGTTTTCATGGTTTTCAAAAACCGAGAAAGGTTCTTAGCCTTAACCATAAAATCTAAAGGACAAGGGACAATTTCTCTTTTCTTGTTTGAATTAATAATCCATATGATGCATACCTTGACACTAATGGCCAAGGTGACAATTTTCTTTCCAATTTGGGCACATTTGGGTTAAGTATTGTTTCTTGGTTTTCAAAAACCAATAATGGTTCTAAACCCTAAATCCTAAGATGTAGGAGCCAAGTGACAGTCTCTTTCTTTGTGCTTCGGTTACTAATCCGGGTGATGTAAACTTGGACACCTGTTGCCAAATTGATGAAAAACTAGTCCAATTTGGCCTCATATGGGTTCCATAAATTTTCCTAATTTTCAGAAACCGGTAAAGGTTCTCAGCCTTAACCATAAGACCAAGGGAACAAGTGACAATTTTTCTCTGCTCATTTGGGTTAGTAATCCATATGATGCATACTTTGATACTAATGGCCAAGGTGACAATTTCTTTTCTCATTTGGCCACATTTGGGTTTAGTAAGTTTTATTCATTTTCAAAAACCGATAAAGGTTTCGAACCCTATATCCTAAGATGTAGGGGCCAGGTGACAGTTTCTTTCTTTGTGCTTGGGTTACTAACCTGGGTGATGTACAATTGGACATTGGTGGCCAGATTGATGAAAATTTAGTTTAATTTGGCTTCATATGTTTTGCATAAATTTTTTATGTTTTCAGAAACCGAAAAAGGTTCTTAACCCTCACCATAAGATCTAGGGGACAAGTGATAATTTATCTCTACTCATTAGGTTTAATAATTCATATGATGCATACATTGACACTAATGGCCAATGTGGTAATTCTTTTCTAATTTGACCAAATTTTGGTTCACTAACTTTTCTTGGTTTTTAGAAACTGAGAAAGGTTATGGACCCTAAATCATAAGATCTTGGGGGTAGTGACAATTTCTTTCCTTGCTACCAATGGCTAGATTGATGAGAAATTAGTTTAATTTGGCCTCATATAGGTTCCATAAGTTTTCTAAGTTTCTATAAATTGAGAAAGATTCTCAGCCCTAACTATAAGATCTAAGGGACAAGTGACAATTTCTCTCTATTCATTTGAGTTAATAATCCATATGATGCATACTTTGACACAAATGGCCAATGTAACAATTTTTTTTCTAATTTGGCTACATTTGGGTTTAGTAACTTTTTTTGGTTTTGAGAAACCGAGAAAGGTTCTGAACCCTAAATCTTAAAGTGTAGGGGCCAAGTGATAATTTCTTTTTTTGTGCTTGGGTTACAAACATGGGTGATGTAAGCTTGGACTCCGATGCCTAGATTGATGAATAATTAGTCTAATTTGGCCTCATATAGGTTTCATAAATTTTCTTGATTTTCAGAAACCGAGAAAGGTTCTCAATCCTAACCATAAGATATAGGAGACAAGTGACAATATCTCTCTACTTATTTGGGTTAATAATCCATATGATGCATACTTTGATACTAATGGTGAAGGTGAATTTTTTTTCTAATTTGGCCACATTTGGGTTCGATAACTATTCTTGGTTTTTTGAAACCGAGAAAGGGTCTGAACCCTAAATCCTAAGATGTAGGAGCCAAGTGAAATTTTCTTTCTTTGTGATTGGGTTACTAATCCGAGTGATGTAAACTTGGACACCAGTGGCCAGATTGATGAAAAATTAGTCTAATATGGGCTCATATGGATTCTATAAATTGTCTTGGGTTTCAAAAACCGAGAAAGATTCTTTGCTCTAAACCTAATGGTCCATTTGGTTTCCGAGAGAGGATAAGATGAGATTGGATAGGATGGGATGAGAGGGGAAAATTTATTTTCCCAATTCTGTCAACTGTGTTTGGTTTTTGAGACCAATTATCCTACCAAATCTGCTTCCTAGTGTTTGGTTGCTGAGAAATGTTGTAGGATGGACGGATTCTTTCTATATTAACGAATGATCCATGTTATCTCCAATTTGACAAAACAAGACTTGTTTTTTGGATGACATGGCATAATAGTATTTGAACATTGCCACGTGTCATGTTTATATAGCACAATTAAAAACTCATATGTATTAAAGTTATAGCCTACCTGTAATAGTTAACATAATAATTCCCGCTAAAATATAATAATTCCATCAAACATAATACTAGACTTTGTACCTATTTTGGGTCAGGCTATTTATAGCCTACCTTTTAATTAGCTAGTTTCAGAATGAAACACCCATTATTGACATTCAACAAAGAAAGGGGTATTTTGCTCTTGAAGAGGTTAGTTGTTTAACAAGGCTATAGATGTAAGCACTAGAGAGATGAGATTCTTCTTTTATCTTAGGGTAAATTACAAAGACCCCTATACTTTGTTTTGCATCAAAGACCCCCCTTGTACTTTGATCGTGAGACAAAGACCCCCTTCTATTAGCCTTCTATTAAAATCCACCATTACAATATTTTTTAATCCCCAGACTACACTTATAATACCTATTCAGAGAAAAACACTATTCATCTTCCCCGACCTCAGGATATACAAATAGTAGAAACGGTAGTTGTTGTAGTGGCAGCATACTTCCGAAGTCCTCTTTCTCTCTCTCCGTGTCTCTCTTCTTTCCCTTCCCCTTTCTCTCATCTCCTTTCTTCTTCCTGATTGCCTCTGTCTTCTGTTCCTTGCATATGAAGAGAGAGAGAGAGTAACTATTTTTCGTTCCTCTCCAACACCCTGTCTTTCTTCTTTGATAGAGACAATGGTTGTGGAAGCTATGTTGCTCCCCCAGGTGCATTGGACTGGTATGCATTGAGGTCCTCACTTGACTACTCAGTTGCTCTGCCACCAATTCCACCACCGCCTTCAAAGGCCATCATCATGGGAGGAATTGATCCCGGTGACGGACTAGTAGGTAACCCCAATTGGAATTTTTGGTGTTGTTGAAGAGGTGGAGGAGGTAGTTGGGCTTGGGGAGGTGAGGTCCTACTTCTGCTGCCGTCATGGTTCTTCTTATGGTAGTAATAACAATTCATCCCCGATTGGGGCTCCCCCTTCATCTCTTTCCGATGGAAGTTCCTGTGACAATCGCATGCGGCGCATTTTAGGGCCTCTGGGGTCCCTTCCTCGCCACTTGGCATGAATTTGCCGATCTTTTGACCCTCCCCCTGACCCCTATTCACCCCCAACCCCATTCAACCCGTACACTCTCCCTTCCCGCCATAAATTGGAGCTGCCCAATAACTTTCCATTTCTAACCTATTAAAACTGTAGTCATAAATAATGCCTTCAACCAAAGTGCATAGAAAATGCTAAGATTTTGATAGCAAACACTGCAATGGACATTGACAAAGTAAAGATCTACGGGGCACGTGTTCATGTTGATTCTATGTCACGGGTTGCACAGATTGAAGGGGTAGAAAAAGAGAAAATGAAAGAGAAGGTGCAGAAGATTATAGCACATGGGATCAATTGCTTTGTGAATAGATAGTTGATTTACAATTTCCCTGAGGAACTATTTGCAAATGTGGAAATTTGGCGATTGAGCATGCTGATTTTAATGGAATTGAGCGTCTTGCTCTGGTAACTGGTGGTGAGTTTGGTGAAGACAAATTAATTCACTTCTCTAGGGTTGAAATGGGTCAAGCTTGCACCATAGTATTAAGAGGTGCTAGTTTTCATGTGCTTGATGAGGCTGAAAGGTCTCTACATGATGCCCTGTGTGTACTCTCTCAAACTGTTGTCAATAGCAAAGTTTTACTTGGAGGAGTGCGGCGCCTGAGATGGTGGTGGCAAAGGAAGTCGATGTATTGGCCCGCAGAACTCCAGGAAAGAAGTCTCATGCAATTAAGGCATTCTCACGGGCCTTACAGGCCATCCCTACAACTATTGCAGATAATGCAAGTTTGGACAGTGTGGAATTGATTTCTCAGCTTCGTGCAGAGCATCACAAGGAGGGGTGTACTGCTGGAATCGACATCCTCTCAGGGATAGTAGGAGAAATGGAGAAACTTGGAATCTCAGAGCCATTCAAAGTCAAGCAGGCTGTGCTACTATCTGCAACTGAAGCTGTAGAGATGATACTCAAAGTTGATGAAATCATCACTTGTGCCCCACGGAAAAGAGAAGACAGAATTTCGGAGAGTTGGGATAGAGAGAATGAGAGAGGATGGTGAGGGAGGGGAAAAGAAGAGAAGAAAGGGAAAACAATAGATTAAATAGGTTTTAAGAGAAAAAGGGCAAAAAAAGAAAATAGAAAAAGTTTAGTGGGGTAATTTGGAAATTTAACGCATTCCGTTATCTGACTTAACGGTCAAAGGGGGTCTTTATCTCACGACCAAAGTACAAGGGGGTCTTTGTCGCAAAACAATGTACAAGGGGGTCTTTGTCACAAACCCCATAGTACAGGGGGCATCTTTGTAATTTATACTTTATCTTATGAATCCTCTCTTTCTCCAATCCTCCTTTCTTTGATCGATTCCTCATCTCTCCAGCGATCTTTTCTTCTCTTTCTCTCCTTTGGTTCATATGTGAAAATGAAATGGAACGTGGAGAGAAGGTGGACTAAAAGAATCATGAATTTGTTCTTTTCTTTTCAAGAATCCAAGTACAACACAACAGAGCTGTGTTGTGAATGTGGGGGGTCTTTCAATGTCACAGTCGCTATAAATGGCTGGAGAAATTCCAATATCAATATGGGATTTGTTCTTAACTGTTCTAAAACTTTTCCCTGTTTTGGCAAAGAATGAGTTGGGTTACTGGGCATAACTGGGTAGTTGAAATAATGAATTGGCAGTATTTTTTTCTGCTGAACTTATTTACCAAAATCAAGAATTCCTTCCCATAGTTACCAGTCAATGATCCCACTAACAATTATGAGCTGAAACGATCTCCCCCCACCCCCACATATGCAGTTCTCTAATCCAAGAACCCCAGAAGGGCTAATAACCAATTCTACATAAAGAAAAAGAAAAAGAAAACACAGACCAGACCAGACCAGAGCACACACGCAAGGTAGGAAGGATTAGTTAGTTTAAAAAGTGAGAAGGTTAAGTTGATATAAAATAATGCATGAGCAGTAGAGAGGAGCAATTTTCAATGAACTAGTACAGTTCATAGATATAGAAGGGTGTCAATGAATTTAGTTCAGCAAATCTCATGAAAACAAAAGACAATCAACTACAAGGTTCGAGCCACACAGTTTAACAATGCCACCAACTTTTGGATAGCAATCATATTCAAAATTCAAGTGAACTAGAAGTCAAGTTTGTAGAATAGGTGACCATATGACATAACTGTAGACATGTTATGGTGAAAAGAGGATTGAACTAGGAGTCATAAGTTGGAAATGCCCTTAAGAACTACAATTAGTACTACATAAATAACAGAATACCAATACCATCACTGTCTAAGCGACTAAGAGGTAAAATCAGGCATTGTTAAACTTCAAGTCTTGATTTTCACCATAAATTCAAGAAAAAAATCTCAAATAGTGCCAAACATCCACAATGATAATAGGTAATAGGTATAAAGGCAATAGGTAATATGTTTATTGAATTCAACTCCTAGGATTCCCCATTGCTGCTCAACCCTCAGCCCAAGGCAGAATACAAAATTTATCCATAGATTTGATGGTAGTTGCGGATCTATTTCTAACTACAGGGGGGCAGGTGAATAGTAGGCCTTATTGTTATCTCTAATGGCAGTCTGTTTGAAGGGATGGGATATCCATCACATGGACGCCCAAGTCTTGCGGAATGGATAGGGCGAATTTCAAAATTTTTCCCATCTTTGCAGGGAATCGAATTCCCTATATTTGAAAAACATGTTTTTCAAGGATCAATCTTGAATCAAGAACCAAACTAGATCTGAACCAAAAGGAGTAGGAGGGAGGATGTACCTGATACAGAGAAGCAATATCTCCCAATGGAGGTGTTCACGCCCAAGGAAGGATCCAAAATTTGCTCCCATTGAAGATGGCACA